CCTGCCTGTATATATACACTACAGCTTTCTGAACTACCTCCTGTCCAAGCTAACTCCCTGAAGTGATTTTAGAGTCTCTGCTCTGTATTTGTGCCTCCTCCTCCCCCTTGCTAGTTTCTTTAGAGAGTTCTTAGAAAGGAGTTTTTCTCCTTAGCAGTATCGTCCTTATCTCATTTCCAGTCTTGACCTTTCATCCATGCTTCATGCATTAGGTATCATTATCCCATGGTATGTATGTGCCCTGTATGTGCCCTGTATGTACTCAGTGCCCATATATGCAAGGCAACATTAACAGTGCTCTTTTACTGTTACTTTCAAATCAGCATTGATTTCCTATTACAGAGCTGGATTTAAACTCTTGAACACATCGTGCAAGTCTTCTCATGATCTGCCGCCTTTCTTGGCTCTCCAACTTCATCTGTAGCTTTTGACTTTACATTTTATCTTTGTTTTACATAGTTTTTGCTCTCGTCCTTGAAATTCTCAGATCAGAATAGCCCTTAACAAACTATACACATACTCAAAAGAATATAGGTCGTGGAGTCAGTGTATGGTATAGAGCACTGGTTCTCAACCTTTCAAATGCTGTGACCCTTTAATACAGCTCCCCATGTTCTGCTGACCCCCAACCATGCAATTATTCCATTGCTACTTTATAACTGTAATTTTGCTACAGTTCGGAGTCGTAATGTAAATATCTGATATGCAGGATGTCTGATATGTGATCCCTGTAAATGGGTTGTTTGATGCCCATAGGGGTCGTGACTTACAGGTTGAGAACACTTATATAAAGCATTGGAGTGTACAGAGATTTTAAACACTGAGAGAAAGCAAATTCATGTTTGTCAACCTGAACTGAGAAAAACCCCTAGTAACAGCATCCTTCCTTAGGGTCTCTTCTAAATGACATTCAGCAGGATAACAATAGCATTTATTCTTTTGCAGGCTATTAGGAAAAAATTATTATTAGAAAACTTGCTGTCTAGAGACATTTATGTGTTTTCTATGTGTTCATAAGTACATACCCACCTCACAGTCTTTGGCCTAGTACTTTTCATGATTAATTACAATTTGGTTTTTATGTTAAGACTGTAATAAGTGAATATTGTAATTATCCTAAATTGTTCCTTAGCACTATATGTTGAACAAAGCAACAAATTAAAAGCCAGTCTTGGCTATTGCATGATAGGGAAGCCAACTACTCTAACCACTTCTCCCAAAATAAAAAAAAGTGGTTTAGCATTTGTATGTTTTCTTTTGATAACTGTGAGTTTAGAATGACTTTTGATTTTGTTAAAACAGGGAAAGTGGGTCAGAAGTTCAAGTAGAAAAAAAATCTTATGTGTTCCAGTACTATGGGCTGTTACTATTATATGTTTGAGTCTTATTTTCTTATACTCAGAGCTTAGCTGTAGTTGATTAGGAACTATACTCTGAAGCCAGACTGCTGAGTTCAAGAACTACTTCTAACCCTGTAATCATGGGCTTGTTACTTAATCTTTATAGACTTATGTTTTCTTCAGGTACAAAATGGAGACAGTAATAGCACATAGTTTATCTTAAATTATTCATATAAGGCCTTTAGAACAGTGTCTAGCAATGGTGTTACAGTATTGTGCTAGCTCTTGAAGTAGCTAGTGTTTAGAATACATCAAATATTTATAGATCTTGAGTCTGTTTTGTGAATTGTTCCAGATTGTAGCTTTCAATATATTTATTATCATTGATCCAGATTGTTTCAGCCCATTAACTTCATTTTTTTCTTTTTCACTGATTAACAGACATAGTTTCTCTTAACAAGTAACAAAGAGCTAGCAGGGCGGTGGTGGCGCACGCCTTTAATCCCAGCACTTGGGAGGCAGAGGCAGGCGGATCTCTGAGTTCGAGAGTTCAAGGCTAGCCTGGTCTACAGAGTGAGTTCCAGGACAGCCAGGGCTACACAGAGAAACCCTGTCTTGAAAAAAACCAAAAAAACAAAACAAACAAACAAAAAACAAAGAGCTACTAGGTATGGTAAATACCTGTAGTCCCAGTACTTGGGGAGACTAAGGCAGGATGGCCATGGAAATTCAAGGCCAGCTGGTGATGATTAACAAAACAAACAAAAAGCCCAAAGATAATATTTAATATATTTTGAAATTTTTATATATTATAGCTATATTTAATTGTGCTGTTTTACTACTAAGAATATGGTGATTTAATTTTTGGATTCTTGGTATATTCATTCCTTTCACTAATTCCTTCAGCTTAGGTAAGAACAAACTAAAAACAGAAACTTTACCACATTTGCTCACATTTTCTGCTGAGAGAGGGTATTAAGACTTGTCTCATCCAGGTGAGCAGCACTGTAGAGGCAGATGTATCCTGTGACTACGAAGACAGACTGTTGTACAGCAAATTTGAGGCCAGCCAAGGAGAGAGACAGAGAGAGACAGAGAGAAGGAGGGGGAGGGAAGGAAGGAGGAGAGACTGATTCAGACACTAGTTTTTGTTTTTAGGTTTTTGGTTTTTTTAAAGATGTATATATCTATATCAGCATTGGCTATAAACTGTAATATTAATTTTTTGAAGCTCTTTATCAAGAAATTTTGGAATATAGTTTGTTTTGTTTTTCTATAGACTGTACAATATTCATTTTGGGGAAAGATAAGGTAAAGATGTGTTCTCTTTAAGTTGTATGATCTTACTGGTGGAAGTTAAGACCTAAAGTAAAGTAACCAATGAAGCTGGACTTTATGGGTGATGAAATTTGGTACATAACTAAGTATAGCTAGCTAGTTATTATCATTCGATTTGAGAGTTCTTTTGTGCTGTTTTGTGCTGGATTCTCTTCAAAAGCAAACAGTGGATATATTTATAAAGACTACAGACTAAAGGATTCATTTTATATTTTACTGAAGTTAAAATTCACAGTCACTGAAACTGTAAGAACACTGGCTTTACTCTTACCCACATGGCAACTTTTAACATCCTCTTCTGGTCTCTGCTGGCTCCAGACACAAAAGTAGTGCACAGCCATATACTTACTGTCTTAGGTAGGGTTTCTGTTGTTGGGATAAACAGCATGACAAAAAGCAACTTGGGGAGGAAATGGTCTATCTCACTTAGACTTCTAGTAATGATCCATCATAAAGGGAAGTCAGGGCAGGAACCTGGAGGCAGGAACTGCTTATTGGCTTGCTTGCTTACCTGGCTCACTTACATAACTCAGAACCACTTGCCCAGGGGTAGCAACTCCCCCACTGAGCTGGGCCCTCTACAGCCCAGTCTGTTGGGGAATTTTCTCATATGAGGCTTCTTCTCAAATGACTCTAGCTTGTGTTAAGTTGACAAAAATTAGGACACAGGCAGAACACATGTACACATGAGAAATAATTTTTAAAAATTTACAGTTGGTGTAAAATATTTATGTAAATAGTGCTTTCTGTAAAATTAACACTTTAATATTTTTAGCTTTTTTTGTTAGTTTAGTTCTTTGAAATGGAACCTCAGGTTGTAATCTTTGAATTTTCTTGTTAGTTGACACACAATCACACATACAGAGGGTACAGGGTAATGTTGAGTATGCATAATCATTGAGTAATGATCCAGTCTCAGAGTGTTTGGCATATTCTTCACCCCATGTATTTATCACTTCTTTGTGGAGATAGCATGAAAAGTCTACTTCTCTAGCTGTTAAGATTAGATAGTCAACATATATTGTTAGCCATAGTCATTCTTCTATGCAAGAGAATTCCAGAACCCATGGGAGAACATGTCTTAGAGTTCCTGCTAAGCATTATGCTAGTTGAAGAGATTCTAATGGTGTGTATTTTTAAAAGCTGTGATTCCTACTTACTAAAGTGACTTTGGGAGCCTATGAATTTCCTTACCCCAGCTGGGTTTCCCAAGGAAGTACAGTACTCTTTCAGACACAAAGCATGAGTGATTATTGGCCAGTAAAAGTGGAAGTGGTATTCTTAATAGCCCAGGGACTCTCCTTTTCAGAAGTCCAGTGACAAACCAACTAGATGGAGAGAAGAAGAGTGGTGACAGACAGTTCAAAGACTACAGAATTTGTCACTGAAAGTTTTGTAGTGAGGAATCACTAAATGTTTTAAGTTCAGGTGGATAGTTGGTAAGATCAAGCATGCAAAAATATCTTTTGGAGTAGTTCAGATGAGGGGTGGATATAACACAGGTGGATGGCTAAAGATGTAATGCAGTAAAAAAAAGTTCAATAAGTCTGTGGGGACGGAGGAATTGCCTTCCACAGCTGGGAAGCCATGATAAAACTGCCAAGAGGAAAAAACACAGAAGAGTGTAGAGAGTTAAGGTTGGACCGTGAGGTCGGTCAATCTAGGACCTCACCAATAACAGACAATTCTTGAATTTTAGAGGGGGGAAATTAGGCTTAAAAAAATGTTTGGGAAACTTGAATATGTTTGAATGCCAAAGAGATAGAAAGGTCCAGTAGCAAGGGAACTTTAAAGATTGTCAAAAAGATGAAAGAGTAATCAAGTCCTGAGAAAACGCTAGAAGGAGCTGTCCATTGAAATGAACTTTGATCTCATGAGGAGAGTGCTGTGTACATGTCGTACATGTGAGTCGTGGAGATTGTAATCTCAGAGCAGGGCTATGCAACTGTAGTTTGCCAGTGGGAAAGGGGACAGGAACAGTAGTGAGAAGAGTGAAAATTTGAAATGTTTATGGTAACCAGTAAATTGAAAACAAACTAGTCTTTAAAGTATTAGGGGATGGAGCTTGTAATATCTTTTTACTCAGACTTGGAGAACAAGAAATGAACTTTTGGGGAAGTTACCAGTTTAATCTGTGAAGTAATTTTTAAGTTAGGATATCACTTTGTTAAGTTGACCTGTTGCTATACTGGATGTTAAAGGAGGGCATACATTTCCATACCAAATTGCCTCATTGTAATGCATTGTTCAGCTTGATGATTCAGTGTGTTTATGTTAACTGTGGCTCATTTTGTTTAACTCTTGTTCTTTTGTCTTATCTAGGCAGGCAGAAGTCCTGAAGGCTGAAATGACAGGTATCAGCTGTCTTGTTTTTACCACTTACTTTGTTCTGTTAAGTTAAAGGAAGAAAATTTCCTTTCTCACTTAAAATGTAGTACCAAACCCTGTGCTGGCTGCCAGGAGCAATAACTTTGCTTTAAATGTCTCTTGGTCTTATACTTTGGATTCTTCTTAAATACTTTTAGGGAATTTAATGTAGTATATGCCTGTACTCAAGAGTATATACCATATGAGTATTTGAGTTGCTGTTAATGTGTATGATTATTTAATTTTATGAACCTTTTACTAATAATTTAAGATATAAAAATAAAATAATTCACTCTATATAACTAAAGATGTAGTATTTGATTACTATATTCATAAGAGAATGCTCTTTTCAATTTAGAGTGACTCAAAACTGAGTAGTAGGTAAACCTTCAGAAAAAAATGTTGATAGGAAGATTGCACTAAAAGTCTGAAATTCAGTGAGCTACCTTTTCTTACACATCTTTTCTGCTCTGAGTAATATCTAAAGCCCTTTGGGAAGAATTTTTGGACTTAGCTGGTGAGATGAACAGATAATTCAAAGCTGGTGATAAGCATGTCCTTCATACAGCATGTGTTATCCTCACCTATCCGATATTTGACATGAGATAGTGTCTTAATTTGGGAGGAATGTAGTTGTATGTTTAACTCATGAAGAATTCAGCTACTATTGATTGATAACAATTCTGGCCAACATTTATCATTGAAGAGGGCATATACTAGCTACTATGGAGGTGATGTTTCTTCAGCTTTGACAGTTACAGACTAATGTTTATGAGGAACCTGATTATCATATCATAAGGAACAAAAGAGGAAGAAGGCTAACCGTGCATTCACTGTTGTCCTTCCTATTAACACATTTGTGGTCATCGTCTACATTATATGATACTCCTGAGTTGCCATTGAAAGTGCTATCTGTAGAACAACATCAAGCTACACATACATACCGTTTTCCAAAGTATTGAACATTGGTTTAAATTTACTCATTTGAACGATGTCTGCAGTTCCCTAGAGCACATACCTATAATCTTAGCTCATGGAAAGTAAAGGTGGGAAGAACACAAGCTCAAAGCTAGTGTGAACTTATAGAGAGTTCCAGGCTAGCCTCAGCTACAGTGGGACCCTGTCTCCAAATAAACGAACAAAAACCACTTTATCAGACCCAAATCTGACTAGCCAACAAACCTATTAACTCAAATATCCAAGGCATTCTCTTGGCTAAGTAGGATTATGGTAGCGTATCAGTACTAATAACTAACATGAAGGGGAGTAGAAACTGTGACATCATGTAGCAGCAAACTCCTAGATGAAATTGAATTGTTTATCTGGGAATTGGAAGCTTACAATTGATAAGTTCATTAAGTAATTCTACTGCGGCAGCTTACTGTCCACATTTGAACTGATCACCCTATAAGACTTTGAAGAATGTGGCACCAGTTCATAAATACAGAGCCTAGCACCCCAATTTTCCCCTATACACAGTTACCCTTCTGGCATATCCCAGGATTCTGTCTTTTTCCACATTAAATGGCTGTAGTGTGCAATGATTACAGAAGTGTAATTGCCATGTTCCATTCATGAAAGTAATTCTCATTGTTTCAGTAGGGCGGCATACAGGCATTTGCTGGATGGTGGTCAGATAGAAAAAATTTGTGAAGATCCTTGTAGGAGTGATTCAAAATAAAAAGGAAACAGTATTTGGATAGAGATAGAATTATTGGGGGTAAATGACACACTATAAATCCACTATTTCAAATGGAATGACTTAACTATCAGATATATGACCTGCTGTGACATGAACAGACAGAAATCCAAATAAAAGCAAAGGATAAATTATTTTAATGGCCATTTTAATTTCATAATGTTCTTTTAAAGCTGAAAGATGAGGGCTAGAGAAACTGGGTCAGCACATAGGAATTCTTGTTGCATGAGCATGGGAACTAGATTCCAGCAAACAGGTAAAATCATTTTGGGCATGCCTGTAATGGGGCTTCCTCACTGATGGCCTCACTGAAAAACATGAAGCTGCAGGCTCAGTGAGAGACCCTGCCTCAAAGCATCGGGTGGGAGTGGTAAAAGGATAGCTGATGCCCTCCCTTCTCTGCTATACTCACCCAGTCCGTACACCCCACACACCCACACATACCTTCATGCACATGCACACCGAGAGAAGTCATTGGTTTGGCTTGTGGTTAAGTGACTTAACTATACAGTGATGTTTTTATTTTGTTATGCAGATTCTAAGCTGGGTCCAGCTGAGGTCTGGACATCCAGGCAAGCTCTGCAGGACTTGTACCAGAAAATGCTTGTTACTGATCTGGAATATGCTTTAGACAAGAAAGTAGAACAGGATCTGTAAGTATTATCATTTGGGACATTACTGTGCAATCAGGAATCTCAAGATTTTAAAACATGGTTAGTTGATTGTTTTTCAGCCTACCCTAGTGTAAACTTTTTCAAAGAAATTCTAATACTCGTGACTTTTTAAAAACAAAGTATTTAGCCATTAGTATTTTTTCTTTTTTTTTAAGTGTAGTCTTTGAAGATAACAGGAGTAATGTTTGGATCTGAATTTTGCCTAAGGCAGCTCTTTCAAACATTGTGGAATAAACAAATCTAAACATATATGGTATCTCAGATTCTAAGAATTTATCTGTATTGAGTCTTATATTTGAACTTAAAGATAAACTTCTGATCAGTGGGATTTTGCATTTGGTCTTAGTCCAAAGGCCCAGAAACAATGATCAATGTCATCCTGTTTCTTCAACAGGAAAGTGTATTTGTATTGTAAGAAAAGTTTATGTGATCAAATACATGACTATATCCTCCTTCATGCTCCCCAGAAAACTAAAGAAAGATTTTGTGTGTTTAGACTATTCTACTTGTTCTTTCTACGAAGGATGAAATGGCAGATAACCAGATTCCCCAGTGAGTAAATAAAGGTTTTTTTATAGAAGATCTTGTCTTATAAATTAAAGCAGGGACAGTTAGCTGGAAATTTAAACATCGATTAAGAACATTTCCGTCTAGTAAGACCTGATAATCCAAGTTGTGCTGAATTTGGTTTTTCCTTTTTTATGCTCTATGTATTTAGAAAATTTAGTAATTTACCTACCTAACTAATCAGAACTCATGTCTGTAATATTTGAGTCCTTAATGAGAAAGAATCACTGATGTTGAGGGAGTATTGACAGATGTCCTAAACTATTTTAAAACCCTCAGGCTCTAGAACCTCAACTTTGGTGTTGACATTTGGTACTATATTTCACTAAAATTGAATTTAAGCTGAAAATATAGCGACGGTTATTTTAGTATAATGCAATTCAGCATTGCGTTGTTAAAGTAACCAAAATTAAAATGTGCTTTGTTTTTGTTTGTTTGTTTTTTGAGACAGGGTTTCTCTGTATATCCCGTGCTGTCCTGGAACTCACTCTGTAGACCAGGCTGGCCTCAAACTCAGAAATCCGCCTGCCTCTGCCTCGCAAGTGCTGGGATTAAAGGTGTGCGCCACCACCGCCCGGCTGAAAATGTGCTTTCTGTGTTATGCTATAAAGAATTAAGCCTTAACCTATAAGATAAAATAAACAAAATCATTAAAGAGGAATGGAATGAGTACTGTAGCTAATTAGCTTGGGTAGATAGGGACGGACTTTACTCGGGACACACACAGTACCCTGTGTGTGTTACTTGACTGAGGGGATAATTTTTGTTGGCCCAGTGTGTTAAAATTAGTAATAGTTTATTCAGATTTTTATACAGGGATTCTTAAGTAGGTCTTACTGTAATAGCTCTAAAGGTTCATAGTTGCACCACAGTCTGCCTACTGGAGCATCTGGTAAGTGTCTGCTAAAGTCAGTTGCATTCTACTGCATGTCTAGTCTTGTTCAAAGAAAAGCATGAAGTTATTTAAATAAATAACTTCAATGCTGGCTTACTGTTCAGTGTGGTATAATATAACAAACAGTTCTTTCTTGTTCTCAGGGGGGCCAGTGTCTGCCCAGTGAGTCACTACTATACCAAATAGAATTACATTTTGTTTTCAGCTGGAATCATGCCTTTAAGAATCAGATCACAACACTACAAGGCCAAGCCAAGAATCGAGCAAACCCAAATCGAAGTGAAGTCCAGGCAAACCTTTCTCTGTTCCTAGAGGCAGCTAGCGGCTTCTATACTCAGGTGAGTTCTACTTTGTATATGAATTCTCGTAGCTTTAATGATATCCTGTTCTTTGTATACATCTTTTGTACATATAAACACTTTATATGACAACCATATGAGACATCTGAAAGTTAATCACGTATAATCTCACATAATAGAGATGTCTGAAATGATTCATACTGTGTTTTTTTTAAAGATACAGACTTACATTTGGGAATGTAGTATGAGGTCCTGGGCTTAAACACCAGTATTGCCAGAGAGAGGGAGAGAAAGACACATGCTTAGGGTGGAGGTTTAATTCTGAATAAAACAGGTGTGATGTGAGCCAAGCCGCAGTGAAATATGGGGGCAGTTATGTGATCAGATCAGAACAATAATAATGTACTCATTATGAAAGTAGTAGCTGTGTAGTGTCAGGTATGTTGTTAAAAGCTATAATGTCAAGTGAGTTTTCATAGCATTATCTACAACAGTGGAGTTTATATGGATTATTTTAAACTATTTAAGAAACAGATATTTTTTATTTGGTTTGAAAAATAGGCTATATTATCTTCACATACTTTTTCACAGTCACATCCTGGTGTAATCTACAAATGAATAGATATTCATGGAATTTTTTAAAAATATAATATCTTGGAACAATTGCTATTTCGGGCTGGAGTTGAGAGCACTTGTTGCTCTTGTAGAGGACTGGAACGCTATATAGCAACTCTCAAATGTCTGTAATTCCACTTGCAGAGAATCAATGCTCTCTTCTGACTTCAATGGGATTTTACGTGTGTGTGTGTTTAGTATTTTTAATTGCTACTTTACCTACTTATAATTAAATGAATAATGCAGAATTTAAAAATTGATTTTATGTATTGGGGTATGCCATGTGTACCATGGCTCATGAATGGAAGTCAGGACAATTGTGGGCACCAGTTTACTCCACCACATAGACTCTGAGGATCAAACTCTGGTCATCATCCATGGTAGCAATCACCTTTCCACACTGAACCATCCCATCAGCCCTTGTAATAGTTAAAATTTTAAGGACTGTGTACTGAAGAAATCCCTGGCCAGTTCCCCTTGTATTGCTTGCCCCCACCTATACATTGGCTTTATTTTGGTTTAGCCATTTCTTTGAATGAAGAAAAAGAAAAGAATATTTGTATTGGAAGATATTCAATAACTGTCATATTAAATTAGTTAGTAATGGTAGCATGCCTTTAATCTCAGCATGCAGAGACAGAAGCAGGCATATCTTTGTGAATGTGAGGCCAGCTTGGTATATACAACAAATTCAGGCCAACCAGGGGTTCATAGGAAGGCGCCGTCTCTCTCTGCAAAAGAAGGAAAAAGCTGGGCAGTGGTGGCGCAGGCCTTTAATCCCAGCACTTGGGAGGCAGAGGCAGGCGGATTTCTGAGTTCGAGGCCAGCCTGGTCTACAGAGTGAGTTCCAGGACAGCCAGGGCTACACAGAGAAACCCTGTCTCGAAAAACCAAAAAGAAGAAGGAAAAAATGGGAAGAAGGGAGATATATTTGTCTTTCTTATACTATAAAATCCACTAAAGGTTTTTGTTGAAAAACCTCAAGTATCATTTTATTCTTAAAATGTATGCCAATTTTTAGTTGATGCTTCTGGAAAGGGGATTGATGTTCAACTGAATAAATAACTGAAAAGGAAAAACAAAGCATATACTGGGCCAGCAAAATGGCTCAATGGATAAAAATATATAACCACCTGAATCTTAGAGTAGAATGGGAGAATTGACTCAACATGCCTTCTGACTTACACAAGTCTATAATGGCATACACACACACACAGACACACACACATAATTAAAATTTAAAGCAGGAATAGGAGAGATGCTCTTAGTGGTTAAGAACATTGGGCTGCTGTTCCAGAGAACCCTGGATTCATTCCCAGAATCCACATGCCAGCTCAAAATTGTCTATAACTTCAATTCCAGGGAGTCTGATGATCCACAGACTTACATGCAGGCAAAGCACCTATACACATATAAAATAAGAAAATTTAAAGGATAAAATGAAAGTAAAGCGTTTAATAAATAAAGGCTTGTTCATTTTGCAGGTAACTGTCAGAAAACCTGGTACTTTTTTTGCTTTGCAATTTTATTTTGTTTCTGTTTTGGTTACTACTAAGACTTTTGCATTTGCTGAGTTAGTGCTGTGCCACTGAACAACTTTCAAAGTGTTGCTTTCTAAGGTACTGTATTAGATGCTGAGACTATGAAAGGAAATTGATAAGCTCTGTGTGGTGATTCATGCCTGAATAGAAACACTCGAGATTATTTATTGCTCGTTAAAGTTCAAGACCAACCAAGTTCCAGGGTAGCCAGGTCCTGTCTCAGTGTCCCTCCCTACCACCAACCCCCACCCCCCAATTAACTATCCAGTTATTCTGGATATTGGAATTAGGAATAAAAACTAGATAGTGTATTATAGTAAAAGAAAGAATTGACATTCTGAAATGGAGTCAATAAGACTCTCTCTGATGGATTGGGTTACATTTATGCAATCAGGGTTAGGAGGAGTCAAAGCTAGTAATTACAATATTAACAAATTGAATGGTTATCCTGGGGGAAGGCAAATGTGTCTGTGATTAAGTCTATGAGATGAGATGCTTCTTATATTTAAGAAGCTATGCTAAATAGATAGTAAGTGTGGAGTCCAGATGAGCACAAACTTAGAGCAATTACTATTACAGTTGGAGAAAGTAAGGGATATGGCCAGGTTGAAAGACACCCACCCTCCACCCCCCAAAAAAGAAAGGTTCCAGTGAGGGCAGAGGGTAAGTGGTATGCCTTGTTCCGTGCTGTTATGTCAGAGAAGGATTTGGGGTTCTTGTTTTTGTTTTTTATTGTTTTTTTTGGGACAGGGTTTCTTGGCGTAACATCCATGGCTATCCTGAAACTCATTAGAACAGGCTGGCTTCAAACTCAGGGATATCCTTGCCTCTTCCTCCCAAATGATGGTACCAAAGGCGTGCAGCCACTGCCTGGCCAGATGAGGTTTTTAAAGGCATTCATAGAAATCATTGAAATTTTTTTGTTTGGTTGATTTTTTGTTTTGTTTTGTTTTTCGGGACAGGGTTTCTCTGTATAGCCCTGGCCATCCTGGAACTCACTCAGAAATCGCTTGCCTCTGCCTCCCAAGTGCTGGGATTGAAGGCGTGCGCCACCACTGCCCGGCCTCGTTGAAAATTTTAATGTGCACCATATTTCTTCCTTTTTAAAATTTTAAAACATATTTTAGGTCATTTGAGCACTTGGGTGGCATAAGTAAGGAGATCTATGTTCATTCAAGGCCATCCTTATGACTTCCAGGACACCTGGCCAGGGATCTGTGGAGAGACTCTTTCTTAAAACAAAAATCAGTGTTTCTGTAATAGGGATACGCTTGCAGTAGAATTTTTGGATAACCAGCATTTTAAAAGAACTGTTAAGTTACTATTGGCAAGATTTTTTTTAAATGTTATATAAAATGGTGGCTCTTCTCTAAGGCACAGTATTTTGGGTTGATAAAGTGTAATTTGATTAGAGTGGTAGTGATCCAATGGTTGTGGGTTTTAAAAGTTTACTATGTGATTACCATAATCAGATTTTCTTTGTAAACAGTTTTGACTTTTTTTAATCACCTAAAACTTAGTACCTCAGGCACTACCAAATTCTTGGTCAGAGTGAAAGCACGTAACATTTTATGTAAGATGCTTTTATTTCCCATGAAGAATATAGTAATTGTCTCAGGTAAGTTTCTTTTTCTATGATAAAACACCATGAACAAAGCAACTTGAAGAGAATGTTTATTTCCACTTGCAATTTGAAGTCCATTATCCAGAGAAGTCAGGGCAGAAACTTGGAACAGAACAGTAACCCGAGGCAGGAGGCCATGGACGAGTGCTGCTTACTGGCTTGCTCAGCCTGCTTTCTTAAAAATTCCCCGAACCACTGTCCAGGACTGACACCAGGTCCAGGCCCTGCTACAACAATCAAGCTTGTGGTACATTTTCTTATTTGAGGTTTCCTCATTCCAAATATATAGCTTGCATCAATTTGATATAAAACTAGATAGCACAGTAATAGTCCTTACTCTAAGAAAATGGGAGGAGAAAGCATTGACATATTTCTATGTAGTGTAACAGGAAACAGTTTGCTTCATAGTCAACTCTTCATTTTTGGCACAGAGTAAGGAGCTGAGGAAAAGGGGGCAGTAGGTAGTTTTTCCTCAGTGAGCAGGATCCCAGAACTGTCTAGCACTGTAGTGCTGAATGAATGAATGAATGAATGGTTGTTTACCATGCACCTGATAGAAGGCAGATAAATATTTGGATGAGTCTAGTTGTATGTAAAGACCAAGTAAGAAGAAAATGAGAAGAAAAAGAAAGGAGACTTTCAAATGTTTGGCAAGATGGGGGAGGGGCTTTGAATAAAGGAAACTGAAAAGAATGATTGCAAAAGCATTTAAGAGCTGGCTAGCCTTCAGATCTGCAAGTTGCAATGCAGTGTGGGGTCCACTAAGATGATGGCAGTGTAGGGATCATTGTGCTCAGCTAGCTAAAATATAGCAGGTCATCTGACCGATGCTTCAGTTAGCCAGTGCTGAATTGGGGCAGAAGAGAGTGAATGGAAGTCAGGTGGTAATGGGTGTAAAGAGTAAGTAGGTATTGAGAACACAGATGAAGAAAAGGATGGACTCCTTTAGAGGAGTCTAGTTGAAATGAGAAAGACATTAGAAGATTGTTGGAAAGACTCTGGGGTCAAGAAAGGATGTTTCAGTTTTCTGTTCTTATTTACTGTTTTATAGGAAACCTTGATACTGTTCAAACAGAGGAAAAAATTGGAGTAGGATGTAACAGACAGGAGACAAAACAGTGGAATAGCAGGCCTACACAGGCAGAGTAGGTAACTCTGACCGGAGGAAAGAGTCCTTTCACACTCAGAATGAAGAGTGATGAATCGGTCTAGAACTTGAGAAAATAAATGTCAAGACCTTGTCTTGCATTTTAGAAACATTTCTAACCAATATTTAATGATTTTTTTTTTTAAAAAAAGTAGATACTTTCATGGCATTCCTTATTTTTAGTGCTTGCTGAATTTTCTAAAATGCTTTAAATGAAAATGCCTTGATAAATGAGAATTAACCCATCAAAGATTACATTTAATCTCCATACAGTTCTTACTGGAGTCTCAGCAATATGTGATTACTTACACACATAATTTTGTATATGAACTTACTGTTAGAACATTCTGACATTACTAAATTTTTCTTATGTTTTTTTCTTCAGTTATTACAGGAACTGTGTACAGTGTTTAATGTAGATTTGCCATGCCGTGTGAAGTCTTCCCAGTTGGGAATTATTAGCAATAAACAGACTCACACCAGCGCCATAGTGAAGCCGCAGTCTAGCTCCTGTTCCTACATTTGCCAGCACTGCCTCGTCCACCTTGGAGACATTGGTGAGCCTGTGGAAAGAATTAATGACACACTCATCCTTTTCTTTGAGTAATCATAGGAAGAAACTTCAAGTATGCATGCATGTTTGGCCTAGATTGATATATGAAGAAACTACAAAATTTACTTTTAGGAACTTTTTCTCCATGTTTTGAGATTGGCAGAAGAATTTTGGGAAAAGAAATTCTCAAATTAAAATTTAAATTCTCTTCAGATTTGATCCAGGTATAGGCAAATAGTAAACACTAAAACTGTAGCCAAAGGTAAATTATTAAAGTAATACTGTATTTCCTAAATTAGAAATTTATACTCTTTTGGAATAGATAAAGTTTATAAATTACTTCTTTTAAATCTAGTTTGTCTATTATTTCTTCCTACTGGTGCACTGAAAGCTCGTTTTATGTGCTGCTTCCTTTCAAAGGTTAAATTTCCATTTCCATTATATACATTTTACTTGGGATTATTATATAACTTATTTTTCTGTTCATTCCTTTAAGGTGACCTAAAAAGGTTATAAAACAAATTAACTATAGGATTATGTTTTGTCCTGAAATAACAAGGAATGAGGAACATTAGTGTGTTTAAATTAGTAGATTTTAGATTTCTTAATGTCATAAATGAGTGACACTTTGAGCGGTCCATCAGAGTTATCAGTGAGCTCTTCGAGGAGATGCAGTATGTCTAGGTTGTTTTGCTTTAGCTGTCTTCTTTGCACACACATAAGACTGCAGTAGATGCAAGGCATTTTTCAAAATCACTTTATAAGATATTGAAGAAATACTTAATTTTCAGATCATATTGTATAGTGTTTTTTGTTTTGTTTTGTTTTTAAGTGCCATATAACTCACCCCTTCTTGTGGGCCGGCTCCAGGTCACCAGCATAGTCCATAGTGGGAGCTGGTGATGCATGACACTGGAGGACCTGAAAATGGGGGCTAGGTAAGCTTTAAAATTGGTTAATGCTGAATGTCCCAAATAGAGAAGACTGGATGGACACTTCACACATAATCCTATAGTTAATTTGTTTTAAATTTTTCTGTCTTTAATGGTCTTTGGAGTAATTTTAATGTCTTTATTATCTCTAGAATTTAAAACTCTAGCTGTTTTGGACATGCCCTCCTCGTGGTTTTTATGTATGTTTATGTATACCTAAATGATTTTAAACTGAATTTTCTTTTTCTTCTCAGCTCGATACAGAAACCAGACTAGCCAGGCAGAGTCCTACTATAGGCATGCTGCTCAGCTTGTCCCCTCCAATGGTGAGTGGACCTGCCACCTTAAAGGGACCATGCTTCTACATTCTTTATAGTACCATAGCAGATAGATTTCACTTTTTGAGTGTATTGTAGCAGTAGATGTTGAATTACAGCAGCATTGAGTTTCATGTTTTTCTTTTTAACTTTATAATTCCATATACTTAATCAAACTTTCTTTTAAGAAAGATACTCTGTAAGCCAATGTAAATGGACTTAGTCAGTGTGGTCTAAAGTTCTCTACAACTCTAGCATTTTGTTTTGTTTTGTTTGTTTTTGTTTTTTGTTTGCTTGTCTGTTTTTGTTTTTCCGAGACAGGGTTTCTCTGTGTAGCCCTGGCTGTCCTGGAACTCACTCTTGTAGACCAGGCTAGCCTAGAACTCAGAAATCTGCCTGCCTCTGCCTCCCAAGTGCTGGGATTAAAGGTGTGCGCCACCACCGCCCGGCTCAACTCTAGCATTCTTAATTGGCCTATAGAGTAATGATCTTTCAGGATAGCCATTTCTTCTTAGAAAACTAACCGATTACCTAAAACGTAGTGCTTTTGATGACTCCAAAATAGCCATTCTTAGATTAAATTGCTTAACAGCAAATACTTACTGTTGCAAGTCATTTATGCTAAGCCACATTGAAATTTCTTTAGAGTCTAAATAATGTCTCAGATAGAGAGATTATCTGGACACACTATCCATTTTATATTGCTTGTTTCAGCCGTCACACCTCAGTAGCAGAGCTGAGTGCTTGGGATGAGTCCCTAGCACCTACAAGGTCAAGGAAATTTACCAGCTAACCCTTTCTGAAACCATGAGTGCTTATTGTACTGATCCTAATTTTATGACTTGTTTTGTTTTGAGACAGTCTTTGTGGCCCAATATGGCCTTGAACTTTTAATTCTCCTGTCTAAGCCTCCCAAGTGCTAGAATTTACGAGTGTGTGCCTCCATAGTCAATATTTAATTGTAAGACTTTTTAACCTGCACATGATAGGATGTGCTATTGCTAATGTGTACAATTTCACATTATGTCCATCTGTAATTGATAGTCATAAGATTTGCCTTATATAATACTTTGCATTACTAATTCAAGGATTAAACTGAGCATTTGTATCTTGATAGCAAGATTGGTTTTTGGTAACTTGATAATCTTATCTTTCTCCTTCAGGTCAGCCTTACAATCAGTTGGCTATCTTAGCTTCTTCCAAAGGAGACCACCTGACCACAATTTTCTACTACTGCAGAAGCATTGCTGTGAAATTCCCTTTCCCAGCTGCCTCCACTAATCTACAAAAAGCACTTTCTAAAGCACTGGAAAGGTAAGGCTGATTTTTTTTTTTTTCCAAGAGAATTTGTATAGCCTGGAGCTTTAATCTCTCAAATTTTGTTGTTTAGGAAATTCTGGCAGTGAACTCTATTCATCTTTTATCTATAAAACTATAGAGAACGTAATTATTTTGTGTACAGTCACTTAATTTACCCAGTGTGTGGTTTATTGTAGCTGAGTGCTGACTCATCTGAGTTGTGGCTGTGAAGTTAGACTTGGTCAGAAAGAACCCTTTCTTGTCTATTATAGGGTGATCAAGTAACTCGCAAGCCAAATCCAGTTTAGGTATTTTGCTAATTTTGCTGATTAAGATTGATTCAAGTTTTTCTTTCATTTCAGCCGGGATGAGTTGAAAACCAAGTGGGGTGTTTCTGACTTCATCAAGGCCTTTATTAAATTCCACGGTCATGTATACCTGAGTAAGAGTTTGGAAAAGCTGAGCCCACTTCGAGAGAAGTTAGAAGAACAGTTTAAGGTTCGAGTTAAAAACAAACAAACAAACAAATGTCTCAAGTTGGAAAGCTTAAGATTTGGAGAACATTAACTTACAGTTTTGTTATTTTGTGGTGTTGGGGCGTGGAATCCAGGGCCTTGCACAAGCTAGGCGATTCCCGCACTGCGCTGTCTCCAGAGGACCAGACTCCTAGTTCCCATGTTGCTATGCTACTTAATTATGAATTCATAGTAAAAGTTACATCTGAAGTATATGAAGTCTTTGCATCCAGCTTCCCTCTTGTTATCTGAACTATATGGTATCCATTGATTGGTAAAGCAACCTTCTCATTGACCCCCTGCCAGTTGGCAAAATGGGTCAAGGTATAACTATATTAAGAAACAAGACAGTTATAAATATAGTGATGAACTGTAGAAAACAACAACACAAAACTTGGACAGTGAAAGCATAAATTAGCCAAATATAGTCAATTTAAATTAATTACAGATAACTGCTGAGTTGATCATTTACAATAGAAATAGTTTGCTGCAAAATAGTTTTTATTAGGCTTCTGTTTTCTTCTTCCCAGTGGCCTGTTTAAACTTAGGCCATATATGTAGGGTTGAGTGTAAAAGGAACACTATCATTTGAGTGCCCTCAATTACTTAGCCTAGAAAAGAATATTGTAATCTGAGTAGAGTTGTTGGATTTAAAGTATAATCAGTATAAATAGCTTATTTAAAAGGCTAGATTCTTTATAAATATAAAAGCAGAAAATAGAAATCTCAGTATACAGTGAAGGTGATTGATATGTTTGTGGCAGGAGCACCAGTCAACTAATGTGTGTTTGTGTGTGTTCTTTAGATAAGTCCTATTCTGTTAGTTCTTGCTGACCTCAAAATTGTCCACATCATTACAACCATGGCAAACCTGACTATATCTGATATATTATCAATTCTTACCAGAATACTAATGACACTTGATTCTGCTGTCCTCTAGACTGCTTCAAGGGGAGAGATGGAGGGCTGGCTACAACTAAAAGTATCCATCCTAGTAACTGTCAACATTTTAGGAACTTAGATTTGGAAATTATTCCATGTGGGAGTAATCAAATCCCATCACAGATGTTAAAGCAGAAGTATGATCACATTGAGACCACCAGCTCTGAGAATATGCATGGTAATGTCATACACTGCTTAGCAGGTTACCATGTACACAGTCAGTATGTAAATGAAACTTAGTAAAACTCCTATGTGGATTTTCCTAGGAAAATTTCAACATGATCATTTAAAGTTGCTTATTAGACATCCAACTTCAGCATATCATTTGTCCCTATGTTCCTAAGTATGTGGTTTCTGCATTGTTTATAAAGGTTTTCTTTTTTGAAAGTGAAAAGTTTAGAACAACTCTTAAATCATGCTTCATGTATCAAGGGTTCAAAATAATACGTGAATCTTTTTGTTTGGAATTCTTTTACTACATACTATCAATCATTTGTCCTTTTAAAACATTTTATTCAATATATATCTTATAAGACAACCTCTAAATGTCTAAATATATGTATAGCCCAGATACTTTCTTCTCAGGCCATATTAAAAATGTATGCTGATCCTGGGGCTAGAGATTGCTCAACTCCTCTTCCAGAAAACCCAGTTCTATCCCCCAATACCCACAATATACTCAGGCAAAATTGCTATACTTATAAAAAATAAAAGTAGATAAATCTTTAATACATGCACAGTTTCTTAAAGCAAAAATGCTCAAGCAATAGTTTAAACAACTGAGTAGTGCCTGAATTGATCCTTTCTAGTATAGCTTTTTTTTTATATAGACATTAGACCTGTATAAAATACTAGAATAAAGAGTGGGACAGTTTAATTATCCGGTAATGCTATTATAGCACTCTGTGATTCTGAGTGTAGATGTTTAGTAATTCTTGTGTCTAAAATGGATCCTACTCTTGTTAATATATGCAGTATCTTTGTCTCCCATTACAGAGACTGCTGTTCCAAAAAGCTTTCAACTCTCAACAGTTAGTTCATGTCACTGTCATTAACCTGTTTCAACTTCATCATCTTCGTGACTTTAGCAATGAAACAGAGCAGCACAGTTACAGCCAAGATGAACAGCTGTGTTGGACACAGTTGCTGGCCCTCTTTAGTGAGTATTAAATTATTCAACTTTGAAAGGTGCAATCTACATATATTTTTGTATATTTGTATATTTTTGTAAATGTAGCCAAATGCAATGATACATAAAATAAGCCCTATATTTCTTAATATTGGATCAGAGAGATTTAAACATCGATTCTGTCCTTTTATCTGCTCTATACCACTTATCTGCTTTATATAACATTTTAACACAGAAAGTGTTTTCTCTCTTTCTGTTTTTTGATAGTCTTACTATGTATTCCCAGGCTGACCTTGGACTTCATGGTCCTCATAGTCCAGCCTCTTAGATACTGGAATTATAGCCGTGGGGTGCCATGCCCAGCTGAAAATACCTATTTAGAAGGAAACAAAGATATGTGAATGTTTAGTACAGCAGAAGGGTCATAGTAATATTTTAAACTGGTATGCTGTTTCAGATGCTTTATACATTCTGAATCTTTTTCTCCATCCCACCCCCAAGTGTCTTTTCTTGGCATCCTGTGCAAGTGTCCTCTCCAGAATGATTCTCAGGAGTCCTACAATGCCTATCCCCTTCCTGCAGTCAAGGTCTCCATGGACTGGCTAAGACTCCGACCTAGAGTCTTTCAAGAAGCAGTGGTGGATGAAAGACAGTAGTAAGTGTTGTAAAATTTTAAGGTGGTTGGGTGGTTTGTTTGATATTCAGAGATACAGGAAAACTGCCTTTTAAAAGAATACTGAACAGTTGAAGACTGTTTTCTACCCACTCTGTGAAAATTGAAATGAAAGCATCCATGCACATATTCATTTGTTTTGAATTCTTTGTTAGGCACATGATCTTAGGTAGAAATTTGTGACTCCTTCTATATTCCCCTGTTCCCAGTTGCCATATCATGAAGAGATAGTCTTCACATTTCAAAATGAACTTGACATTAAAAATCAAGTTTGTTTGCTGGGCGGTGGTGGCGCATGCCTTTAATCCCAGCACTTGGGAGGCAGAGGCAGGCAGATTTCTGAGTTCGAGGCCAGCCTGGTCTACAGAGTGAGTTCCAGGACAGCCAGGGCTACACTCGGAAAAACATAAATAAATAAATAAATAAATAAATAAATAAATAAATAAATAAATA